CAAGCTCAAGTGCTTTTGGAACCCGAGGGAAAAAGGATCACCATCACTGGATTATGCTCTCTTTGTGAAGGACTTCAGTGAATATGTAGGAAGATTGAGAAGATGGTTAGGGAAGCACTTTCTCATGAGAATGGCATAAAACAAGAATCAAAGACGGAGGACCAAAAGAAGCCCAGAAATTAACATACTGACAAGGTCTAGGACAGTGACTGCTAACCTTTTGGTCCTCGCGTGCCGAAACTGCATGTGCATGCATGACAGCGCATGCGTGTGTGCCCACACCCATAATGAAATGCACCCCGCCCCCTGCACATGAGCGCATGACTTCCCCTGGTCCCACGCGTGTGTGTGTGTGTGTGACCCCCCCCGCCCACGCACGCATGCACAACAGAGACCCAAGAATCAGTTGGCTGGCAGGAGGCACGCGCGCGCATGCGCGGTGGAGCTGAGCTGGGTAACAGCTCACGTGCCCACAGAGAGGGCTCCATGTGCCAACTGTGGCACGTGTGTGATTGTTGCGTTTTTCTTTTTTAATATGCTGTATTGTTTATTGTTTGTTGTTTCCCCCTCCCTTTTGAATTGTGAGCCGCCCTGAGTCCCCCTAGGGAAAAGGGCGGCATACAAATAAAGGCAAAAGTATAAAAAGTATAAAGTATAAAGGTTCGCCATCACGGGTCTAGGACAAATAAAGTATAACACAAAGGAAGAAACAGTTGTAGAATATTGCAAGAGAAATACTGGCAGGCGATACTCAGAACCTCTGACGTTTCTACACCATTGCAGAATATGAAAAGTAATCCGAAGACAAAGATGTTGTGATAAGACATTATATAGGGATTATGATCCTACAGCGTTGGAAGGTTATAACTTTTCAGAAGGAAAAGACCCAGAAGGGATGAAGACGTTGTAGTATATGCGAAGAAAATACGTATTCACACAGTTGTGTAAATACACAGATTGCAGCATGGACATCCCACAGCACGTGAGTTTGCTTAAGGGTAAAAGGAGACACCCCAAAAAAGAGGTACCAAAAGCAACAAAAAGTGCCTGCCAAACTATTTCTTCCCAATCTCCTTGCTTATTCATCACTGAAGTCCTTCCTGAAGATAGCATGGTCCATTGTTTTATTTGTTATTTGTGTTAGAAACAAAATAAAAGCCAAAGGGACATGGAGGTCCAAGGGTGAAGTGGTATTGGGAGAGATAGACCCGGATGCTGCGTTTGATCACACAAGGTGGCGCTTCTTGTCCCGAAGAGCAAAGCCTGCGCTTGTAGGAACAACACTAGGATGATGATGATTTGATTTAGTTATTTAACGTCTGGCATTATTACATTAGCCAGGAAACCACGCTGCTCATGCAGAGCAGTAGTTTGGCTGCTTGTTTACCAGCAACGATAGGTGCATGGCGGTGCTCTTCCCAGAGTGCCCACAAGAGGAGAACGAGCTTTGCACCAGCAATAAAGACGAGGGGTTTTTCCTGTAGTGTTATTCAAGGCCCCTCACCCTCCAGCAAAGCGACCTCCCAAATAAGCATCATGACTGGGAAGGTTCATTGCCGGCAGGATTTAACCGCCGCACAAAGCACCAGCTTATCTCCCCACCGAAGTGGTACCTATTTACCTACTCGCACAGAAACATGCTTTGAACTGCTAGGTGGGCACAAGTTGAGGTGAGTGATGGGAGCTCCCACCGCCACGCAGTGCTAGGGCTCAAACTCTGGAGCAGGGATCATCTCCAATATCAGTAATGTTGTTGATGATGATGATGATGATTAGCACCAACTACAAATACTGGGCACCATAGTTTTAAAAAGGGCAGAGAAAAAATGGAGTGAGTTCTGACCAAAATGATCAGATCAAGATGGTTAACAAGATTGGAAAAGAAACCAGCTTTCAATTAGTAAATCTAACAGGACCATTTAGACAGAGCTAAATAACTCAAGCTCATAAAAATTATACAATGAGAATTAACTATGGCTTGGGGAGTAACTGAGAGCTGAAGTGGCAAAATAAAATGCCCTTAATCTCAGGTTTTCGTTGTTGGTGTTTTGTTTTTTTTTAAAGGGGAATGCACATTCTCAGTTTAATTAAAATCCAGCCAGGTGAAACTGCCATTTGCGGCTGAACTCAAAAAGCTCTACACAAAGCGTGAACAAAACAAAACTAAGTTCTCCTACACAAGTCAAGTAACAAAATCCAATTTAATTTCTAATTCCAAAGAGCAGAATGGAACATTTCAATTTCTGAAGCCCGATTCTAAATAAATACTTACAAAAGCTATTTTAACTTCTAAAGGATTTGAAGGAGGTTTGGCCTGCACGAACAACTACAGTAATCGTATTGTTGTGATACTACACTTGACTTTGCCCAAAAGGCAAAAAAAGATTTTTTCCCTTGGTCTCTTCCCCAAAGAATAGTCTCACCAGTTTAACGGTACCCTTACAGCATACCCCAGATCAGTGGTGGGATTCAGCCAGCTCGCACCTATTCGGGAGAACCGGTTGTTAACTTTCTAAGCAGTCCGGAGAACTGGTTGTTGGAAGAAATCTCATTTTGTTTTTTTCCCACTTTCCAGGGCTAATCCTGTAAGGAAGGCAGGAAGGAAACATTCTGGTGTTGCTTCTAGCCTCATCTTCATTCCCCTGTTTACAGAAACTGCCTCTCCAGTTAACCCTTATGACAGTGTAACAGCTAAGGCGAAGCGCCCATCAATCTGAGTGACATTGAGTTGGCCATGCCCACCCAGTCACATGACCACCGAGCCACACCTACCCAGCTGATCATTAGGACAGAGACCAGGTTGTTAAATTATTTGAATCCCACCCCTTCCCCAGATTGATATTTCTTATAAATGAGAAGAGTTCATAAACATAAAATTCATAAATTTCGGGTGCATTTTTTTCCCAATGTTCAACACTTCTCACCTGCCAAGGGTTGTCAAGATCAGGAAATAAAATCATACCTTTTTAGTCCATCGTTTCACCCCATTATATCCTTTGGTTACCAGCTGTCTATGGAAAAAGCTGTTGAAGAAATGAACCTATAAAAGACGGGGTGATGAGTGAATTTACTGGTCTAATCAGAGCTCATAATTCCAAGACTGAACCGTGTCCTCAAAGAAAAGCTATTTGTCTGAGAGTGCAGAGTGTGACTACTATTTTGAAACAACTCAGGAGCAAAATACAGTACACAGAGGTTTTGTCTTTCAAACAGTTATACATACATATACATATATATATATATATATATATACATACATACATACACACACACACACACACACACACACACACACACACACACACACATATGTAAAGGTAAAGGTTCCCCTTCCACATATGTGCTAGTCGTTCCCGACTCTAGGGGCGGTGCTCATCTCCGTTTCAAAGCCAAAGAGCCAGCGCTGTCTGAAGACATCTCCATGGTCATGTGGCCGGCATGACTAAATGCCAAAGGCACACGGAACGCTGTTACCTTCCCACCAAAGGTGGTCCCTATTTTTCTACTTGCATTTTTTTACATGCTTTTGAACTGCTAGGTTGGCAGAAGTTGGGAGAAGGGAGCTCATTCCATTACGTGGCACTAGGGATTCGAACCGCCAAACTGCCGACCTTTCTGATCGACAAGTTCAGGGTCTTAGCCACTGAGTCACCGCGTCCCTACATACATATATACATACATACATACATGCATGCATAATCATTGTTGTCGCTTGTTATCTACATTGACAGATTATGCACCAAAGACAAATTCCTTTATGTTCTTGGCCAATAAACTATTCTATTCATTTCATTTCATTTCCATTCATAAACCAGATTATGAGCCTGTGCATACACATTCTAAAAATATTCATAAAATGCATATATAAAACACAGGCAGCTTTCACCCAGCACTTCAGCCACTCTGCTGTCCCAACCATCGTCTAACTTTCCAGGTGATTTGACCAATGATAAATAATCCTGTTTGCTAATTAAACCGATTCTCTTTTTTCGGGGGGGGGTGTCAGGATAATTCTTGATTCTCCTTCCCGCTCTTTTTTTGGATCTTGTTTGGCTAATTTTACCTAAAAAGACAAAAATGAAGGATACCTACCTTATCAGGGACTGCATCCATTATTAGCTCACCATACATATTGATAATCTGAAACAGTTTAGAAAAAATATTTTTAAAAAGGGAAGGATATTATGTCCAATGCATAGTCATTTTATGGAACATAAAGAAGTATATATCAAATTCTGTATGCTTCATGTAATATAAACAAGACTCGCAATCCAGGTCTAGAAAAAGGAAAAGAGAAAATTACAAATATCTCACATTGATTTTAAAAAAATATTTATTTTCTCTTATACCATAGCTTCATAATAGTTGAGGGGGAGGGTGTAATTTTTTTTATGTTGGGATGTCCTACATCTGTGTTAAGATATTAAGGTATTAGTACCTGAATCTAAAAATATTTCTACAGACATAAATGATAGAAAAGAAACCCAGAACTTCTTCAGCAGTTCATTGTTTGCCTAAAGTCCCACTCTGCATATTTTTCTGTACTTACATTGAAATGAAGCATATGAATGCATCCCCTTCAAAGCTCTCGAGATAAAAAGATTTCAAAATCAAAGGCTGCCTTGAATAGCTGCTCTTCTGTGCATGCGTGTGTGATTTGTTTTTAAGTTCCATTTGTGGGTTTTGGATCACACAGATTGTGTTTTGACTGGCTGTAAGCTGAGACATATACTGGGCCAGTATATTGATTTTTAAAAATATAAACAATGCTACACTTCAATGGTTAGATGGCCTAGGCGACGTTTTTTGAACATAGATTTTTTTTAACATTCATATGTTATTGGGTTTTACTAGTCTAGGTGAAATGTTTATATATATATATATATATATATATATATA